TGTAGTAATAGAATTTCAACTAGAATAGGGTACGTTAATCGTTTGCTTGGGACCAATAGGCTACTAAAGTGGTGAGCCAATTTAAAATCGTTAGTTTCGTATTGATTGTTGGTATAAGGCTGATGCTTTGGCAAAAATGTATAAGCATAGAGGTAACTCTAAGACCACTGGGTCCCGAAGAAAATCATTATTATTTTTGGCTCACTCAGTACCAGAACAACGGTCCCAAGCAGTCCCAAGCTATTTCACTCACCCCTGCATGTTCTGCATGAATCCACACACCCCTGATGTTATCTGTCAAACTTTCATAGCGAATCAAAACAAACATAGTGTAGTAATAGAATTTCAACTAGAATAGGGTACGTTAATCGTTTGCTTGGGACCAATAGGCTACTAAAGTGGTGAGCCAATTTAAAATCGTTAGTTTCGTATTGATTGTTGGTATAAGTGAAACACATGAATTAAATAATTGATTTTCGTTTCGTGTACTTCAAAACGCATTAATTACTTGAAGTACTTTTGATTGCATTTTAACTTCAACGCACCGGTTCTTTGTATTGCGTGCCCCTCGCTCACTACTTGACAAGCCTATTGGTCCCAAGCAAACGATTAACGTATTCAAAGTGTTTTTTATGTTACTTCATACGCGAAGTTAACGATTTTCAGAGTTGGTTGGAAATGCTAACATGAAGCTTTAGTGTGATGATTTATTAGCTAGAGAATGATCTTTAGAAGAATGTAGGTGGATAGTTCCGTTAGAGTACGGCAGTATGAAAATTGAATAGAAGTTGAAAATGAGCGAAGGGCCATTAAAGCGACAGTTTTCAAGATGACGCACATTTTTGCCTAGCCCGTACGATGTACGCGGGGACTTGAAGTATGTCTCCAAGTCCACAGGCAAAAATGTGCGTCCCTCTTGTTGCTCATAAACTGACTGCGGCTGTGGAATAGTTCTAGCGACGTTTTCATCACTACCTAAAGCCCCACGTCGCGAGAGCATTTCCAGTCGATGGTGTGTTATAATGCAGTTCTTCTTTACCCAACTATTGTGTTGCTCCTCTCGTCATGACCAACGTCATGCCTGTGGACTTGGAGACATACTTCAAGTCCCCGCGTACATCGTACGGGCTAGGCAAAAATGTGCGTCATCTTGAAAACTGTCGCTTTAATGGCCCTTCGCTCATTTTCAACTTCTATTCAATTTTCATACTGCCGTACTCTAACGGAACTATCCACCTACATTCTTCTAAAGATCATTCTCTAGCTAATAAATCATCACACTAAAGCTTCATGTTAGCATTTCCAACCAACTCTGATTAACGTATCCCATTCTAGTCGAAATTCTAGTACTACACTATGTTTGTTTTGATTCGCTATGAAAGTTTGACAGATAAAATGAAGGGTTCGTGAATTTTCCTATTTTTCGAGGGGTGTATCGATTAGCTTGGGACCGAAGATAGTACCAGAGCTGAGCCAAAAGTTGAGCACGTTTCTTCGGGACCTTCTGGTCTTAAAGTTACCTCTATGATGAAACCATAGAGGTAACTCTAAAACGCTGTCCAGACTGGAGAGTTATAACATGTTATAACGGTTGTCAACTAATTGCAACACATAAACCACCATCAAGATAGCGCTATAACATGTTATAACCATAGAGGTAACTCTAAGACTAGTAGCTCCCGAAGAAAATCATTATTATTTTTGGCTCACTCAGTACCAGAACAACGGTCCCAAGCAGTCCCAAGCTATTTCACTCACCCCTGCATGTTCTGCATGAATCCACACACCCCTGATGTTATCTGTCAAACTTTCATAGCGAATCAAAACAAACATAGTGTAGTAATAGAATTTCAACTAGAATAGGGTACGTTAATCGTTTGCTTGGGACCAATAGGCTACTAAAGTGGTGAGCCAATTTAAAATCGTTAGTTTCGTATTGATTGTTGTTATAACTCTGTAATCTGAACAAGGCATAAAACGCTGTCCAGACTGGAGAGTTATAACATGTTATAACGGTTGTCAAATAATTGCAACACAGAAACCACCATCAAGATAGCGCTATAACATGTTATAACTCTGTAGTCTGAACGTACTATAAGACCACTGGGTCCCGAAGAAAATCATTATTATTTTTGGCTCACTCAGTACCAGAACAACGGTCCCAAGCAGTCCCAAGCTATTTCACTCACCCCTGCATGTTCTGCATGAATCCACACACTCCTGATGTTATCTGTTATGATGTTATAGATTGTTGATGAAACTGTCGGAAGAAAAACTTTCTATTTTAGTGTCCTCTTTTACGGTCCCTTTCATCCAATGAATACCACCCGTATGCAAGGTAATTTTGTGGTTTTGCTGCCCCCTCGGTAGAGATGAAATTTTGTGCACTTTTTTATCAAAACAAGCACACCAAAATGAGATATGTCCCATTTTTTAATTACTCGATGAACAACTAATCGATTATTTTTTGTTCGCTGTGCTGCGATTTTTCCATCTATGAGAGTGCAGCAAATGTTTGAAACGATCGGTGATGATCCTCTGGAGATGTGTATGCTTATATCGGCATGATATAACCGATTACAAATATTTTACTTTTCGGTTCGTTAATCGATTAATCGATTATTCGAATGAAAATCGGCCATCACTAGATGAATGTGAAACCTCATTTCAAATATAAGGACCGTACATAAATAATGATACAATTTGAAAGGGACCGGGGATAATCACAAATTACGTCCCCACGGTAACTGAAATAAACATGTGTTCACCGGTTGGTAGAACTGGCAGTTTATTCTCATATGAGTTTCTGCTTAGTTTATGTTTACATACATACATATGTTTACACACTATTAACACCAGATCACTCACACACTCTAGATTTCTAGCTGTCAGTTCCACTGAGAAACGTCTCTTGGATCACCTTATACACAGCAAAAAAATGTAAAATCGCACGGAGAACAAATTATAGCAGACGTAATTATTTTTCCGGTCAAAATAACTATATTGTTCAATTGTTTTAGAGATAACCCGGAACTATAGTTGATTTGACTATATATAGAGGGCAACAACTATAGTTCATAGTTGGCTTCTCGGTTGGCTCAACTATATTTTTCAGTAGATGAACAAACGACAAACTTCAAAATACAACTATGCTTTAGTTGATTCAAGAAAACTATTGTTAGGAAAGCAAAATTTTACAATGTTTATTAAACGAACTGCTCCTCATTATCGACATATTAAGGAAGTTTGTTTTGCTTCTTTATCGATCTCAGAAACACAACTGCAAAATCATAAAAAAGTTAACAAGAACATTCAACTTAGATTTGAACCGTGTTCATCTGCGTGAGAGCCAGTTATCTTATCGCCTGCTCTGCGCATCACAAGTTAAAAGTATGTGGATTTATGATGATCACTTGAAACCAAATTATATAAATAAATTACATTTGACGATTGTTATAATTGTGTTATAGTTGAATTGAGTATAAGATGAACAGTTGAATCTATTAGGTAGATATGATTGAGTTGACGGTCAAATTAATGTTGGAATAACTATAGGTTTCTTTCAAACAACAATATTTTTCCATGTGAAAGTAACTATTAGGATTGTTCTCTTAACTTAACGAATTTGTTCTCCGTGCTTTTTTTTTTTTTTTCCTTTATTATAGAGATTTTTAGCCATAGGCTAGTTCATCTCTTAATGTTCTCCGTGCGATCAATGTAATTCAAGCTGATGTATGAAATAATGATGTAATAGCAAAAAGCAGATACAATATTACATCAATGGATGTAATTTTGTTCGCAAAATTGATGTACATCGTACAACGTTATATTACACAACCGATGGATTCCCGCATAAGCGCGAACCATAACATAAACCTTACCTAAAATGGTTAAAATTGTTTATAATCCCTGCTAAACTTCAACTGAAATGGTTATGGAACTTTACATGAACGTTTAATGATAAGGTTTTAACCTTAAGTATTATAGTTTTTTGGAAGTGGAGTCAGTAAGGTCCATGAATGGTTTTGTAACATCGATCAACTTTATGTGGAATATATCGCGAATTGGTTGCCTGTAAATTACTGATTACCAATTCACGATATATTTCACGTAAAGTTGAGTGATAATAGAAAACCATTAATGGACCTTACTGATTACCATAACCATAACCATTAATGTTCTCAAACCATAAGTAAAAACGTTCTAATATAGTTCTCTTTCCGAAAATGTATGGAGAAAACAAGAATTTGGAATGGTAATGGTTCTTAACAACCCATTATTTGTAAGGTCCGCTTCCAAAAAACCATAATACATAAGGTTAAAACTTTATCACACAAACGTTCATGTAAAGTTCCATAACCATTTCAGTTGAAGTTTAGCAGGGATTATAAACAATTTATAACCATTATCGGTAAGGTCATGTGATGGTTCGCGTTTATGCGGGTTGACCTGGTTGCAGCAGTTTGGATGTAATATTCAACTTTTTTTTCTATGTTTAGTCAAAGCTGTGTTGAAGATGTCATCATGCATTAATCTATACTGGCATCCCTTCCGATTGATTTATTCTCTCTCCCTCTCGCCAATTTCAAGTATCACAGAAAAACAAAACTACCCACCGCTTGGGTTTTTTAAACTCAAATTTGAGTTATTTGACCTCAGCCCGTTTCATTTTCTCTCGCTATTGTTGTCAAAAATAGAACGAAAGATTCGACTCAACCGTCTAGTTCCGTACGAGAAGCCAAAATTGAGTAATATGCGATATACCCAAATTTGAGTTAATTGAACTTAATTTTGGGTAGAAAAAATTGAAAATAACTTAGCGATGGGTATTTTTTTTGCCGTGCTTAAATGCAAACTACTTTGAGCCGGTTTACCCAAATTTGGCTTATTGTACGGAACATGGGAGATGAGTGAAAAGAACTTAATTTTGGGTTGTTTTGAATTTCTGTGTACACTCCTGTAGTCTTTGAGAACTGTCAACCGATAAAAAATGAAAACAAATTGAATCAGAAAGTGAAATTCGCTGGCAGATTAGTTCTCAGAGAAAATCGTAAGTAATTTTTTCCATTTTTCAATGGATTTAATTCAAGACTACGAGCAACAGTACGCTGTTCTAACAGCGGAAGTAACCGCCCAGATCGGTCGCCTAGGCTCATCCTCCGCAGGTACGTCCGAACCGTTGACATCACGGAAAATATGTTTGCTTAAATTTTGCGATTTTTTCCCCACCCTCCCGAAGGCGAACGAAACAAACTGATAGCGGATATCGATCGGCAGCTGGAAGAATCGCAGGAACTGCTGGAACAGATTGGACTGGAGATTCGTGACGTACCCCAGGCGAACCGGGCGGGATACACATCGCGGTTGAATTGCTACCAGGCCGAATGGAAGCGACTGCAGCAGGAATTTAGCAATGCGAAAACGACCCGGCCCACAGGTGCTGCTGGCTACGACTCGGTCGATGAGTTTGATGAGATTGGTATCCAGGAGGATCAGAAGCGGAGACTGTTGGACAACAGCGAGCGGCTGGAACGGACTGGGAATTATCTGAAGGACAGCTACCGAGTAGTTCTGGAGACGGAACAGATTGGGACGCAGGTGCTGCAGGATCTGAGCGAACAGCGGGAAACGATTCACAGGGCAAGGGGACGGGTAAGTGTCCATAATTTATTGGGTTTGAGAAAAGGGTTAGTTGAAAGTGTTATTCGCATTTCAGCTACGTGAAACCGATGCCGAGTTGGGACGATCATCGCGATTGCTGAATAACATGCTGATGCGAGCACTGAGGGAGAAAATTGTACTTATTTCCGTTGCTGTTGCGATATTCCTGGTGCTGTTTTTGAGTATTTACTTCTCGATTTCATCCGATTAGTATTTTTTAGCTGAAAGCTACAGGCTACGCTTTTACTGTATGATGTGGTGTAAAGCCGGTATAGTTTATTTTTGTTTTAGTTTCTATTATAGACGTGTTTAAGTTTAGTTAAAATAAACTATCATTATTGTAATATAAATTGATGGAATATTTCAATAAATACAAGTAACATTCCTCGAAAATCAACAACTTTATTTAAAAATAAATATATCATCAAGATTTTAAAAGTACTTTGGAATGATTAGCCCTTTCATCATATCGAAACTATTCCCGTCGGGGTGAACACAGATCGGCTTTGGATTTTGGTCGGTTTTCACCAGCAGGTAGCCATATTCGTCGATTCCTACGACGGTTCCAGTCATCTCTGTACCATTGTCTCCTTTGATGACGACACATTTTCCACCATGGAGCCAGTATTTGTAGTACAAGTCGTACAAAGGTTGCAGCTCGTCCCCGCTCTGAATTTCGTTAAACAACTTTTCAATTTCATTGAAAATCACTGCCAACGTTTGTTCGTACCCCAGCAAAGGTAATTTCATCCCACTACCCTTGTTGTATTCCCTAATCAAATCATTAATGCACACCGTTGGACTCGAATTGCTGAGATTCACTCCGCAGCCTACATTAACAATTGCTTCCGAGCTGCAGAGCTGTGAATTGATGATCAATCCGCCAATTTTCGTACTACCCTTTGCGTAAATATCGTTGGGCCATTTGACACCGATGTCCAGCTTTTCGTAACCTGCCATGCTTCGAATGGCATTGACAACGGCAACCGCAACCAGTTGTTGGATCAATGGCAGCCTCTGTCCAAGTGGACTACCCAATGGAACGTGAAGCTGTAGCGAAAACATGGCGCATCCTTCCGGACTTAGCCATTGGTTGTTGTTCCGGCCACTGCCACGACTTTGTCGCCGTGGTATGGCCACGAAGCCATGGGTCAGCGTCGCATTCGAGACGATTACCATCGAGCTGGTTATCACGGGACAGTAGATCGCTATCCGACCAAGCAGGGACGTTTTCAAATGACTTAAGTATGCATCGGTCGAGAAATCCTCCGGTGCACGATCGGTCAGAACCGGCAGTTGGCTTTCCGAGGGAGTCGAAAGCTTCTTAGTTTTGCTGCAAAATTGCAGTGAAAGTTCACCCAGATTGAGAACGTTACGAATGCGGTTTGTGTCATTTAGAAGGTCTAAAAACTTTCGCTTTCTATCGACACTGCCCAGAAGAAAGGCATTTTTGTAACTGATTACCGCATGTGTCGTTACTTGCTCTTTAGTTTTGATTTTGAGGCACGAACTGAGCAAATGCATCAGGACATCTTGTGCAAGACCTTCATGTTCTGTCAGAATCAATTGAGTAAAGATTCCTTCGCCGCCAGAGCTCAAACTTTTCACACTAAAAATGCTGGGAGTATTCAAGGTTCTCTCCCGGGTCAATATCTCCACGTCCAGCTTATGCTCCATCCCGGCCATGTTTTTTACAATCTCACTGAGCTTAGCCTCATTTCCGATTGGTTGCCACTGAAGGATTTCTTGGGCAATTGTCACATTTTGCCATCGATCATAGTTCAGCGAAACGTTTTCAGTTCCGAGCCGTTCATTTTTGACCAAATTCGGCAAAATCACTTCCACCAAACCGGAACACAGTCCCAACAACTTTCCTCCGTTTATAAAATAGTTTAGAAACACTTCCGCCACACTTCGATCCAAAGTGCCATGAATCAACAATAGTGCGGTACTTTCGGGCCATGCTTGCGCTTCCACCTGACCGTCCACAATGGGATAAATTGTATAGGTGTCCGCTTCCAGTGTACTTCGAAGGCTCTCGATGAGGCAGTTTTTCACGGAAGCATTCTTTGAGTAAACCAAGATGTTTGGCGGTTTGGACGACATCGAAAAGAATCGGATTTGTCCGACAACGGTAGGGACGATTTGAAGGCCGAACCGGGAGCTGAACGTTTCCAGTTGCCGTTGGAACAGTTTATCGCGGAGGTTGTTCAACGATACGAGGCTTCTTGCTCCTGCGGTGAAAGGACGATAATAATCAACAACAGAATCATAACAACAGCTGGATTACCTTTGGTCATACAGTAAAACATCGTTCCACATCGGTTTTGACCAGCATCGCCACCATGGAAAGGCAATTGGTGTGGAACTTACACCGAAATTTGCGACGTAGACACGTAGAAATAGGAATGATCACAGTAACTTATTGATAAGAAATCAAAACAAAAACAAAGGGGGTTTGAAAATGACAGGTCCAGTGCTGCCTGTTTGGAGGAAAAAATCATTTATAGTGAAGGTGAAGTAATAGGTTAGTCCATACAAAATTAGACCCATGGAATTGAGAAATCCAAGTTTGGCGAGAAAAATCCCCATTCTAGTCGAAATTCTAGTACTAAACTATGTTTGTTTTGATTCGCTAAGAAAGTTTGACAGATAAAATTAGAGGTTAGTGGATTTTCCTATGTTACGAGGGGTGCATCGATTATCAATCAATTCGAAACTCACTACTTGACTAGCCTATTGGTCCCGAGATTGGTCCAAAGCAAATCGATTAACGTGCCCTATTCTAGTTTAAATTCCAGTACTACACTATGTTTGTTTTGATTCGCTATGAAAGTTTGACAGATAAAATGAGGGGTTCGTGGATTTTCATGTTTCGAGGGGTGCATCGATTAGCTTGGGACCGAAGAGAGTACCAGAGCTGAGCCAAAAAGTTGAGCTCGTTTCTTCGGGACCTTCTGGTCTTAGAGTTACCTCTATGGTACCAGAGCTGAGCCATAAAGTTGAGCACGTTTCTTCGGCATCTACTAGTCTTATGGCGGTAAGCTCCAACTCGGATTAACTTTTAATACCGTCCCTGTTTGGATGACCCGCAAAATGTTTGCTTAGAGTCGTGTTGACTAAACCTGATGTTAACATAAAATTAGCCAGACATTCTTGATGAGGATTTAATCCGAGGATAATATGATAATACCATAGAGGTAACTCCAAGACTAGTAGGTCCCGAAGAAACGTGCTCAACTTTTTGTCTTTTGTCGGTTGGAGCTTACCACCATTAGAGTTACCTCTATGGCATCGCCGTGTAAAGTTGTTTATTATCAGCGATTTGTTATGTATAGAGATTTTCACGACTGGTTGTATTGGTGTGCTGTGTGAAACTGTGGTAGTGAATATTCGAAGAAAATACATAACAAACCGCTCTCAAACTCATTTTGACAGCTCGAATTACATACATTTTGAGATCAACCCGAGGAAAATGATAAAACAACTTTACACCATAGAGGTAACTCTAAGGCCAAAAGGTCCCGAAGAAACGAGCTCAACTTTTTGGCTCAGCTCTGGTACTATCTTCGGTCCCAAGCTAATCGATGCACCCCTCGAAACAGGAAAATCCACGAATCCCTCATTTTATCTGTCAAACTTTCATACACACTATTTCAAAACTACCCAAATTTGGGTAGAATCCACCCAGATCGATTAAAACTGAATCTACCCAAAAATGGGTAAACTGTGTTGGGAATTACAAGTTGACAAATGAACAACATCGACATGAATCCGATCGACGTTGTTAATTTGTCAACTTGTCACTCCCAACATAGTTTACCCTTTTTTGGGTAGGTTCAGTTTTGACAGATCTGGGTGGAATCTACCAAAATTTGGGTAGTTTTGAAATAGCGTGTAGCGAATCAAAACAAACATACACTCCTAAAAATATGCACGTCCGATTCACGTGAAAAATCACGTAGCTGATTTGATTGCTTATATTTCCAATATTACGTGATGGTAGTAAAACTGACAGACATTTCAAGTCATGTTTACTAGAGCTGGTGATGAAAGTGACGAATTGTTCACATCAATATTTTGTGTATGTTTGTGTGAGTGTGTTTGCGCTTACGTGAAATGGATGTACGTGATTTACAGGTATAAAAAAAAAATGGCGTCATCAAGCACATTAATGGAAGAGTTGCTCTCTGATTTGAAGTTTCCAAACGCTTTGCTGCAAATATTCGAAGGTATTTTTGAATTTTTCACAATATTTGAAGTCCAACATATTAAACTAATTATATTTATTTTGATTTCAGAGGGTAGCATTACTAGTTTTGATCTCTTGACAGTTTCTGAAGAACAGTTTAGGCAGGCTCTGGAGAAAACAGAGCAAACCGATATTGCGTCTAAATGGTTTCATCTTTTTGGTCTAATCGAGTCCTGGAGGCAGCGAAATGTGAGTACAAGTGAATTACAGAAGCAATATGTCAATATTTATTATGCTTTTTTACTTGCTTTTTTATCAGAAATCTACGATACGCTCCATGATAAATGCTTGCATATTTTCTTCTACCAACGAGAGTGAACACATCGAAGGTGGAAACTCTGGAGAAAATTCAGTCAGTAGTTCACACGAGCAGGAAATCAACACAGAGAAAAGTAATATTGAGTATCATCCGGTTGCTCTGCACCATTCATCGAACGAAACAGTGTCGGAAATAGTTTTGCAAGAAGCTCAGTTAGTTCCAGATGACAGCTCAGCCCCAGTAGCGAGCACTTCGAGGGATACGCTTATCGATAACGAAGAGAGAACTCGCAATCACTGGAATATTTTTTCTCCAAGCGTACTGAAAGAATTACTGAACGAATCCGAAGAAGGCAAGGACATACTACAGAGGGCTAACGCTGGCGAACTCTCTGAAGCCAAGCAACTGCAGTTGGCAGGACTAATTGCAAAACATCATCTGAACCAAAGGGACAAACTACATTCCGAAGACTTAGAGAAATATGTACTTGCAATTTGTACATTGTTCAAGTTTGAACGGCAGGTAAACAAAATTACATATAATGAATTGGTAGAGCTAAAGAAGTCATGTTCTATTGATTATTTACTTACAGGAAAATTACTACATTGCCAGAGGTGGAGACAGGCGTAACCCCGGTGGCAAAATCGCAAATAAGATCGGCAACTTGAAAAAGAAGAAAAGAAGAGCAGATGCCAAAGAAGACGAATACGCAAAGACTCTAAAACGGGATTTACCTTGTGATGTACCAACAAACGAAAATGATCAAAAATGTATCGAAGCTTACGAATGGTTGGTACTGAACCAAGAGCCTTGGTCAACCGTTACAGACAAATGGCCTGTAAGCATCTCTAAAAGAAATCCATATTTGCGGTCACATTCTGCGGTACCAAGGCTTTTTATGTTATTTCCACACTATAAACATCAGTACGGTTATCAGTTGGTAAGTTTTTAACTTATGTCCTAACATTGTGATACAATGATTATTTTTATAATAATTATTATGCTTTTTTGTTGACTAGATCGATTATGATTTCAAGCTATTGTTTGGTGGAAGCTCAAACGGATTGGAGAAGTTGGAAAAAATCCGACCAGCAATAGTAGAGTATATATCAATAAAAGCTGTAGATCCTTCAGCGGAGACCTTACTCAAGTTGCTTACCGGAAACGACACAAGTGAAGGTAAATTAATTGATTGTTGAATTTTAAGTGTTAAATTATGTTTATTTTGCTCCAGATGTAAAAAATTGTGCTTTATTGCTTGGTCTTAATACCGTACTGCCACCGATACCAGTTGGATCGCGATTCAAGCCAACAATATGCGTCGCACAAGAAGACACGATCATTTTCGCTGAATGCCAGGTTGAAGCCGATAATAAAGTTCAAAATAAATACCACGACTACGCGGACCGAAATCTACCTGAAGTTCCCAAATTAGTCATTTTGGGAAATGATGTAAGCAACATGAGTGGACGCTTCCTAGTTTACTTCAAAGATTTCAACTACGAACTAACATCGGCTGCACGTGCGATTGATGTGATTTTAAAAACAACTATGGTACTTGGTTTACCATTCTCCAAAGTGTCGAAATTGGTGTGGCACTTCCTTAGCAGCGAAGTCTACGGGATTCCTGAGCGCGAATCATATGCCAGTATTAACAAGCTGAGAAATTACTTACGGTCAATAGAATAGAAGCCCCATAATGATTGGTTGTATGATCACATCTTGTAGTTCCTCATTTAGAGAGGCAGACGTATATTTAAATCATTTAAAAGACCACCACCAAGTGCCCGCAGTTTATAGATATCCATGTACAGTAGCAGCCTGCAAACAAATATTCACGAACTTTCATGCATTCAGGAAACATATCAAACGACATACAAAATCAGAAGAACCATTTCAAATTCAAAATAGAAAAAGAACAGAGAACATCGATAGCTTACCCGGTAGTGTACCACAGCTCGTTAAGAAATCCAAGACAGATGACGTGGAATCTCCTCAGTATGTGAACCGGTTTGAAAATATAGAATCTTCAGCAGTACAGCTGACGTTAGGATTACACATGAAAAATAACACCACGCGAAAAGATGTCCGTGATATTCAGCACGAGGTCAGCCAAATAATAAGCGGAATAGCTACTAATTTAGAGAGTATTGGTGTCATTCACCCGAATGCCCAGAATGAGTTTATTTTTAAAAGCTACATTACTAAAATGAAAAGTTTGTTCGATCCTATCAACACTGATTATAAGCTATTTGATTATTTGAAAAAGTCAGGTAAACTTGTTTTGCCTCAGATAGTTAGTATAGATAACGAAGAGAATCTTGAGTCACAAGTGATGAATTTTGAAACAGATTTAATAGAGGAGAGAAAACATTTTCTAGTAATGATGCCAATCAAACATCAAATCAAATGTTTCTTAGAATGTAATGACGCACTAAAAGTAATATTGAAACACGCAAGTCAATTGGAAAAAGGAGCATACATTAAAAACTATGTCAATGGAAACACCTGGAAAAAAATAAGAGAAAAATATAATGACGATGTTATTGTACCCATTTGGCTGTACGCCGATGAGTTCGAAGTTAACGACTCTCAGAGCTCACATTGTAATAGACATTCTGTATGTGGCCTATACTACAGTTTTCCTACACTGCCAAACGAATATTCTTCCAAACTAAAAAATATATTTGTAGCAGGAATGCTGAAAAAAATAGATATAAAAGAAGAAGGCATTAACAGGTTAATTTCACCATTGGTTTGTGCATTTAAAGACCTTGAAGACAATGGTATTGATTTTAATATCGATGGAAAGTATCGAACCGTTAGATTTGTGCTTTGCTTGTTAACAGGAGATAACTTAGGTATACATAGTATGTTATCACTATCAAGCGGATTTAATGCCACATTTTATTGTAGATTTTGTAGGAGGCCTAAGGAACTCCTTAAAAAGGATATTCAAGAACATGCTGACTGCATGCGGCGCAAACAAGATTACGACGATGATATAAGAACTAATTCATTAAGCGAGACGGGTATAGCCAGAAATTCAGTATTCAATGATTTACCTTCATTCCATGTAATAGAAAACAAAAGTGTTGATCCTATGCACGATTGTTTTAGCTCGGGGATCTGTAAATATGGATTGACAAAAATATTGAACTATTGCATCTACACGAAAAAGTATTTTACCCTGAAACAACTCAATGATAATCGTAGGGAAATAAGCAAGATATGTTTAAACGATGAACTCAAGCGGATGCCAGATGCATCCCAATATTTTATAAGCAGAAACAAAACCAACTCTGTATCGCTCAAAATGACATCAAGTGAAATGCTTATTTTTACACATTATTTCACGTTTATCTCAGCAAAATATGTTCCTGCTGATGATTTAGTATGGAAATTTTGCACTATATTGATACGATTAGTTGACCTATGCTTGAAATCTTCATTTTCACTCGACGATATTACTCACTTAAGACATCTTATCGAAACACATCATACATTGTACGTTCAGCTTTTTGACGATGATTTGAAACCAAAGCATCATTTTTTGGTCCATTATCCAACTGTTATACAAGAATCAGGTCCAGTGTATAAAATGATGTGTTTCCGAAATGAAGCGAAGCACCGTGGCTTCAAACAGTATGCACATATAATGCCATCACGTAAAAATCTTTGCTATACACTTTGCGTAAAAGCATCGCTACAATTTACGTACAATGTCATTAACAAAACATTCCTGGAAAATGATGCCAATGATAAATTCCAGATGGCTGATATTCGTTTGCGAAACTATTTCTCTCAACTTGTTCAGCCATTACAGCTACAAACGGAGTTTAATGTTATGCTGGCAAGTTCTGCTTATAACAAGGGAACTATCTACAGAACAGGGAACTTTATGACAATGTTCAAGAACAGTGTGGTGCATTTGTTTGAGATTTTAGAATTATTGCTATTTCACGATTCTTTATACTTAATAGTACAGATGTGGCATGTAGGTGAGTATAATGACCACTTTTTGGCATACGAAGCCATTGATAGAATAAATTTGGTGGATATAATTACCATTGATATTTTTGACAGTCAGCCTGTGTCCTTACATCGCATCGATGGTGTATACATGTTTCGAGTTAAGAATAATTATAATGATTATTGTTAAACTAATAGGAGATGGAAAAGGTTCAATTAAATGTGTGCCATGTATTATAATAAGGAAACTATATTTTAATTAAATGTATGTAATATTATAAAACAATAAAATATATACATGTTTAATTACACTTAAAGTTATTATGCACAGCGTAAAGTGATGTGACTTTCTGCCGCCAGTGAAGGAACAAAAATCACGTTGTGTAACGTGAGACATTATACATCTCAGGCGGAGTCTCACGTCACACAAGGTGACTTTTGTCACTTCAATGGTAACAGGCAATCACATCGCACGCTGCACAGAATTACCATGATTCATAAAAAAAACAAACGACCTCCAGTAAATATTATTACAAGATCAGGTAAACATTACGTGAAAATCCGGTCCAATCAACATGAAATGCACGTTACGTTTAATTAATTTTCCAGTAAATGTCATTCCAGGATCACGTAAACGTTACGTGAAAATACGTTCAGATTAAATTTGAAATCACGTAACATTTACCTTACTACTCACGTTGACAGCCAGACGAAAATATGTTTAGATACAAGACATTCACGTAAATTTTACGTGAAAAGATATATGGACGAAAGCTACCTATATTTTCACGTAAATCGGACGTGCATATTTTTTGGAGTGTAGTGTAGTACTAGAATTTCGACTAGAGTGGGGTACGTTAATGTCGTTAATCGATTTGCTTGGAACCAATAGGCTAGTCAAGTAGTGAGCCAATTTAAAATTGTTAGTTTCCACCGGGCAACGGCGCCGGTGGTGTAGTGGTAAGCGTGATTACCTCTCACCCCAGCAGGCCTGGGTACAATCCCAGTCGGCGCCGCCGGGATGTTCTGAGGCATGGAAATAAAGCCGTTGGTCCCCGGTTCATGAATTGATGGGTCGATAGGTAGGGTCCAGGTGTGGGAGCTGCCTTCCTGGCACGTCGGTAGCATTGGTGCTCAGCACGGAAAACAAGATCGACGGAAAAAACAAACCAAAGGAAAAAAAAAAAAGTTTCCACCGGTTGTTTACACGGTGATAGACCGATAGACCCCCGTTAGTGTGCGTGCGTTAAACGTCACTAATCTCTATTTTCCTCGGATTTTCACTAACACGCTCTCACATATCGCACCAATACAACGGGATGTGAAAATCTCAATAGCAGGTTTATTAAAAAAAAATTCTATCTATCAAATTTAACTGAAAATTCACTAATGGCGGTAAGCTCCAACTCGGATTAACTTTTAATACCGTCCCTGTTTGGATGATCTGTTAAGTGTTTGCATAGCATCGTGTTGAATAATGCTGATGTCGACATCAAAGCAGCCGGATATTTTTGATCGGGATTTAATCCGAGGATAATACCGATAGGAGCTTACCGCCATAAATGTAACACAGCTTAACTATAGAGACCTTATATCTCGATGAACATTTCAAATGGTCCTATCTGCTTTGATCGATTCTCTTTTTATAACCACTGCTATGCAAACAGATTTCGCGCTTTCAACCACATAGTTTGATAAAGGAGGTTCTTATCTAGCGTCCAAAACGTCAAATACTACAGGGAAAGGTTGAGTAAATAACGAAAGAGAAAATCGATGAAGAGAATCGATCAATGCAGATAGGACCTTTTGAAATGTTTATCTAGATATGTGAGTCAAATCGGTTATTTTAGAACGCGATTAGTAGACTTGTAGAACATGGGTCTTATGAGTTTTGAGGTAACTTCAATTACTAAATTCCTTCCTTTGTTCTTACAGCCTTATAATAAAGGGTCAAGGGATCAAATCGAAAACCGTGCAGAAAGAGAAAGTCGATAAAGAGAAACGATGCATACAGATAGGACCATTTAAAATGTTCATCGATACCCTGCTGGTAGGACCTTTTATCAGGTCAAAGAAATACATTAGATAAATATTTGGAAACTAGTTACATTAGACCTATGTCTAGTTTGGTAAATCTAGATGAACATTTCAACAGGTCCTATCTGAATCGATTCTACTTTCTCTTTCTGCACAACTTGACTTTCTCTTTCTGCACGACTTGACTTTCTCTTTCTGCACGACTTGACTTTCTCTTTCTGCACGAACTTTGTTAGAAGCTCATGACTACACTACCCATAAACGCATAACCCATTGCCCATGTGAATAGGAAATCAAGCAAACATGTGACTAGAGCACTGTTTTCAATCGACGGCGGGAATACGACCATAGTAGACTTAGTGAAATTGTAAAGGTTGAAATTCACGGATCTAGAGAGATTCTTCCGATAAGAATCCAGTAGAAATTTTTTTTACGATTCAACGAGTTTCAGGATCAATTTTTGTGCAAGATTTCATTTCCTAAATAACAAGACCCAGAAACAGAAAAGAAAAAAAATGGATCAACCAGATTAACCTCCTCCCTTCGATGCTTTCACTCCTGATGACCTGGGGACTAATGAATGTCTACCGTTTATGCAACAATTTCCCCCCTCTTTTCCTTAGCGCCCTGATTTTTGCCCAATATCTAAAACATAAAAAAAATAGTTTCGGATAAAAGAGATTTGCAACTTACCGCTTCCTTATAGTATTTGTATCCGCATTTTATTCTTTTTTTCCAATTAGCATGTTCTTATATTGTACACGGTGATCTCCCCCCAATTCCTCACATCCACAGACAGACAGGCTCTCTACTTGCTCTTGGTGGTGGTGGTTGTGGTGGCGGTGGCAGCAGCGGTTGCCTTGGTCGGAGCCTTGGCAATCTTCGGTGGCTTGCTGACGGGTTTGCCGAGCTGCTGTGCCTTCAGAACCTTGACGACCTTCTGCTCATCGATCAGGAATGCACGGATGATGCGCTCGCGCAGGCAACGATGGCACAGGACACCGCCGAAGGTACGGGTAACGGTCTTCAGGCGGCGGCACATACGTGGGCGCTCGCTAGGCCGGGATGGCTTGATGCCGCTCAGCTTTTCCTTGCACTGACCGCATTTCGGCACGGTGCGCTGCTTCTTGACATACAAGTAGACCAGACGGCCACCGGGCGTACGGACACTGTTTTTCGACGGTGCAGGAAGAAAACAAGATAAATTTTAGTAAACAATACCATCTATCCTAAAGCCACTAAAATTAAAATAACAAGAGACTGTGACATTCGATAGAAGTATTGAATCGTCAGGTTTCGCGGACTGATCAATAGGCAAAGGAATGTCCTGATTTGTTCTGGCACAATTTGTAGCACTGGTCAGCTAGGAATCGATCCGTTGACCAATGGTAGCAAATAATTATGCCGTTTTCGACTTCGGGAAGATTGTTCCGGATTATTGGATTGCGGTTTTGTCATATCCGATGGAAGTGCTGACACTCGATTGCCCACATAGGCCAAGTTCAACAGGCAAAAGGATATGCTGATTTGATCTTGCACAAACAGGTAGCATCATAAAGTCACCTTTCGTTTCGAACTTTCTGATGGTAGCAAAAGTAGTGCGTATTTTTCCCAAAGAAGTTTCGTCGAATGATTTTCATATACTTACACACGTCGCTTGTTGGACTTGGTGTTGTAAGACAGACGTCTTCTCAGTGTCAAACGCTGGACCATCTTGGTGAGTTAGCTAAAATTGTATAAAAACAATCATTAACTTTCACTGCTCATTATCACAAATTAGCAAACTGTTCAAAGTTGTGAGTGCGTAGAAAGCAATGGGATGTGTTACAGACATGGATCCTCTAGTAGAAGACCACCGAAATCAAGGATTGAAACCAAAGAAGCATTCAAAACAATAGTCCGCTGATCCTGCGGAAGGTAGGTTAGGCGGACGTCAACAAATCCTTGCCGGTTTCCAACAGCATTCTGAATCGTGCAAAGCGCACTTTTCACCGTTTTCACGTAAACGAAAGTTTCGGTAACACATCTAATTGATTTTCCACGCAATTTCACCAACAAAAGAACCGTTTTTATCGGAAAATATCTCGCACCTTGACAAAATGTGTCTACTTTATTCAAACTAAAGTGACGGAAAGGAAGACAAATCCAAAGTTTGACGTTTGCTCGGAAGTACGCGAACGCATGCTCACAGTTGGCTGTCAAATGTGACAGCCGTGGAGTGTGCGTTTCAGCTGTTTACGGTTTCGGTGGAGAAAACAATCCGTGGATAGTGGTGAATAAAATTGCTCAAAAACTGAGGAAATTTATTCGAATGAACCGATGGCTCACAGCGAAAAAAAATGTAATATCGATCAATGTTATTCAAGCTGATGTACGAAATAACGATGTAATAGCAAAAAGCAGATACAATATTACATCAATGTATGTAATTTTGTTCGCAAAATCGATGTACATCGTACAACGTTATATTACACAACCGATGGATTGACCTGGTTGCAGCAGTTTGGATGTAATATTCAACAACTGAGCTGTTCGCTGGAAAACGCTATGATAAAACATGATTTCGATAAAAGCATAGTTAATTGGATTAACGAAATGCTTAGCAAAAGAGAAATCTCAACAAACCTAGGAAGCTCATCCATAACAGTAAAAGCTTTAAAATTGTGTCCTCAAGGAGGTGTTCTTTCACCTCTACTGTGGTCTTTAATAGTTGATGATCTTCTCAAAAACTTAGAAGCACAGGACTTTGAGATTATTGGCTTCGCAGATGATATAGTCATATTAGTGCGTGGAAAATATGACTATATCATTTCCAGTAGAATGCAAATTGCTTTAAATTATGTTTCATCGTGGTGCACTAGCGAAGGATTGAATATTAATCCATCTAAAATAACTATTGTACTATTTACACGAAGGAAAAAAATGTCCATAAATAGTATTAAACTGAAAGAAATAATTTTAGAACTTTCAAACAGTCAAGTATCTGGGAGTTACTCTTGACAGCAAACTAAATTGGAATTCGCATCTAGAGCAAGTCATTAGTAAAGCAACAAATGCTCTTTGGATAAGTAAACAAAACTTTTGGTAGGAAATGGGGACTAAAACCTAAAATGGTGGTGGCCTAAAACCATTGAAAAATCAGCTCAGAAAAAGCTGGGGACCCTAATAAAAAATAACCATAAACGAACGATAACCCAAATCATTGAACTATTCCACAAATGGTTTGGATGATACCCAGAACACGTCGTTAAGCAAATTAACCATACAATTTTTATTAGGGGAGGCTGCAAAGACTATAGCCACTCTCTCAATAACTGGTGCAATGAGTAGCACACCAAGTATGGCACTAGATGCTCTAATTTCTCTGCTTCCGTTGCATCAATTTATTCAATTAGTAGCCGAAAGGAGTACATTAAGGATCCGACGATCACAGCACTTCCTTGAAGGTGATCTTAGAGGACATATGAGCATCCTAAAAATGTTCAATATTAATTCTATTGTGTTACAAAATTAGGATTGGATGAAGAAAAAATATCACTTCGATCGTCTTTACAATGTAGCAGATGCGGATCGCGATTTGTGGGACAATGGGGGACCAAACATTCGTCCAAGATCACTTGTCTTTTATACAGACGGCTCTAGATTGGATAATCGTGTAGGAGCAGGGGTAACAGGTCCAGGTATAAATATCTCAATATCTATGGGCTACTGGCCTACCGTGTTCCAAGCAGAAGTCCAAGCAATTCTTGAATGTTCTAAAATTTGCTTGGGTAGAAATTATAGACATTCGAATATCTGCATTATGTCTGATAGCCAAGCAGCACTAAATGCTTTGAAATCAGCAACATGTAATTCATACAAGAATGTGCAATGTTACTCCAAAAATTGGCCTGTCAAAACCAAGTGAACTTATTTTGGGTTCCTTGTCACTGTGGAATTCAAGGGCATGAGAAAGCCGACACACTAGCTAGGCTTGGATCATCTCAACAATTTATAGGAGTTTCTGCTTGCTCTCTTAGAATGGAGTTCAAGAAATGGGAAAAAATGGAAGTGGAGACCAATTGGGTTCTTTAAGGGTATTGAGGTAAATGCATATTCGTAATCTGCATTAAAAATGGAACCCAAACCCAAAATTTCATCAATTTTGGTACACTGGAACTATTTTAAATAAGAACGATTACATTTGCAAAAATTACCTTATTAGCGCCCCTCGGTGTCACTTTGTATGGGAGCGAGCTGTCATTTTGTCAGTTTAGTGTCAAACAGTGAAGTTATTATTTTGCTTTAAATCTTGGTTTAAAAATCGAGATGAAAGTGTGTGGGTTCGAAAAAAATATCGCTGTGCTCAGAAAACGAAGCTCTTTCAGATGATATATAAAAACCAAAATGTTTTTCAAAATTAAAGAACCCAATTGGAACAACACTCTCATTCCTGCTCTCATTGCTAGGCAGTCGAAACCTCGGTCGAAACGGTTTATTAATCCGAGCATTTCAATGACTAGCAAAATTCTTTTACTATCAAAGAAAGATTTCACACAGAGTTTAGATTACCGAAGTCGGTAATATTTTACTAGGTATATTACCGAACAAGGAATCCGTGATTAAGTGTGCACTCAAAAATATTACTAATCGAAAATAGATTACAATTTAATCTTTATTTTATTTAGCTTTGTTTGTTCATAGCTTTGATTAAAAAGTAATCTATTCCAGGTTTGTTTTTATGCATGAGTATGAATAACATGTCATAGTTCATGATTATGCATAACAATTCGTTTCTCTGTTTAGCTCTTGTCATGAATCGACAAAAACCGCCTCAAACAAGTATTTTTATCTGAGTGGAAAAAAAACTTCAGTAAGTGTTTATAAATCATTATTTAAATGCAACACCATTTTTTTAGATGCTGATGCTTGAACTGTGGCCTATTCCGTTCGGCGATCGAGTATTCTGAGGTTCTTCCTATAGTCGAAACTTCTGGTCATTTCAACGCCAGATCATCATAAACAGCACTTGGTCGTTGGGCTACTTCCGGTTCTGAGTTGATCAATACGGATGGAAAGTGCCTTGGCGAATCAATAAGATGGCAACGTGATCGTAAAATTGTACACCATTTAAAACAAGGTGCTTCCATGCGAGAAGAAGGTGTACTGTATCTGGGAGAGATTGGTTCGTCGTACAACAACCTGAACCGGATCGACCATTTCCCGTGTGTCGCAGTATGATGAGGATTCGATTTACGGGGAGTATAATAGTATGTATATAGTATCATGAGGAACATCTTGAAGGGCGCGAGGGTGAAGGTGTGAGAAGCTGAACTACCGAAATACGGATAGCTGACTATTCTCGCTCATGGATCCAATTGAATGGTACCGTTTTCTGGCCGTGACTTTGAAAAATCAAATGAAAACCTTCGATTCTTTATATATATCCGATCAGGTACCCGATTCATCGTCATCTATGTCAGTCATCACTGCCACTAACAGCCTCAACCATAACTTCTTCATAATGTTGTTAATTTTAAAGAATAAAAATATAAACGTATCTCCATACAGTTCACTCTCTCCAACTTTTTGATTATGTTTTTCAATCATAACAAACCACATGAAACTGAAAAATAATCGAATCTGCCGAATAAATGCATAATATACATCAGAAGAATACCTCAATTTTATACCATCCAATGTATAAACCAGTTTTATACTATGTTAGTATTCTCTCTCTTTAAACAAAGCTATGCGTCGTTAAGGAGAGTTGCGATTTAGCGTAACTTTTAATCTATTTAGATTTGAAAATCCTTTGAGTGTGCAGTATGTACACTGGTTTAATAACAGGGCACTGTCCAAGTAAATATCACTTGAAGCTAATAGGAAAACTTCAAGATGACATGTGTCGATTATGTGGCATAGAAAAAGAAAACTCTGAACACCTGCTATGCCCTTGTACAGCAATCTCCAATAAGAGGCGTTTTTTTTCTGGATAAGGGGCTGATAGAACCCTTTGATATTTGGAATTCAGTTCCCAGCCAAGTAGTGCAATTCATTCGAAATGTAATACCTGACTGGGAAAATGCTTTTGGTCAGTCTATGTCGGTCGCTTCATAAAATGGTGTTACGACATGCTGATAAAGCAATATTAAAACGGGGAATATGTCACAATAGATCTAAGTACTGGTCGCAGTGATCAAAATAACCAACACGGAAAAAATGGCTGTTCGGTTGGACCCAAGTCTCTTTCTTACCCATGCTTGTTAGTCATAAGTTAGAGGGAGACATCCGTCCTACAGCCATCAGTCCTTTCCAGGGGGACCCTATCCCTGTCAAAAACACATATAGATGCACCATAGCTCACATGTTTTTGACATTTTTGGACAATCTGACACTTTTGGGCATACTGACAGCAGAGCTGCCAGGTGGTTTTATAAAAAATCTGTATCCACTCTATTAAAAAATCTGTATTTTCTGTATTGACGATTTTTTTCTTAATTAATCATGTTTTGTTGTTTTACAAATACAGTGCATACAAAATAACCATAAAAAGTGCTTAACCACCTATTCGGGCTATCGTACTAACCATACTGGATATAATTGCGCCATTTGTGATATCGTCCGTACTTATTTATAAGAGTGATATGAAGCCGTTTGAAAATGTATGGAGATTTTAGTTTCTATTCATTATCTTCCTGATAAGCAGTTTTAAATGCAAAAAAGTGCACGAGTTTATTACTATTTGATATTTTTAATATAGATGAATACAATTAATTACATCATTTGTGTGGTAGTTATACCGAAAAGTCGAGAGATGTCGCCCCGCCAGTGCTGGTAAAATCATTTTTGCAGTATGGAGAATATCAGAAAATCCGCAATTTCTTACGAAATACATTTTCAATGCAAGTAAAATGTTTACGAGTACTTGTACTTGTACCATTTTAATGTGCTCGGGCACTTTTCTTGTATTTAACATACATGCTTATATTGGAAATATTCAATTAATACTGTAAATCCCCATACAATCTCAAATCGTTTACTACCAGCTCCATATGCATCCGAAAGCGGTTGGTCCTCTGGTTGTGAATGCTGTCAAAAACACCATAACATGATTAATTGTCGATGAAAATTTGATAGGTTCCCGAGCAGAGGGTGAGAACAAAATGAAAACAAAAATTATGTTGTTTTCATTATTCCTGATAACTCAAATTGATTTCATTTTGATGGAGTTGATGGCTAACAGAACAAAAATGAGAGCTAAAAGATAAGCGAAGAATACCAAAATTATAACATATATTGATATTAGTAAGAACTGCTTGATAACTTATTTTGATATGGATATTTTATTTAGATTACAAATTTAGTTATCAACATGTTATTGCATGCATGCCGAAAAAACAAAATAAAAATACATCAAATTTTGATGTCATCATGAGTTATTAAACGGCAGCTATATAAACGCACAGTGGAATCGATTAAATGTTCAATAAACTTTTTAATTTTTTTTTATGTTAGAGGAGCATAGCGACGAGTAAGCTTCTTCTAGTCTTTTGAGCCAAATTGGATTTCGTTTTCTTTCATGTTCGCCTTTTTCCTTCTGTGAAGTTATATTTAGTAGAGAGTCGCGAATTTTGTGATATTCTCCATACTGCAAAAACAGTTTTCCAACCACTGGAGGGGCAAAAACTCTCGGATATTTGATAAAACTACCACTCAACCAAATATGGTTTTTGTCACAACAATTAATTTTGGAGAGAAGGGGGTACGCTGATAAAATCGAGCAAGTTATTTTGTTTTCATAAATTTTGGATTTTGTTTTTCTCAAGCATTTTATAAAAATCTGTATAAATCTGTATTGTAATTTAAAAATCTGTGATAAATCTGTATTCTGTATCGGGTCTGTATTAAGATTAAAAAATCTGTATAATACAGATAAATCTGTATAAATGGCAGCGCTGACTGACAGCGGTAAAACTGTCGGAGGTTCGACAGAACAAAACAGCTTACTCTTTCAAACTTGCATTGCAGTGCTGAATGCTAGAAAGAGCAGTCTGTTGCAGTCATCCTCACCCACTATATTCATCACATTGATGTGAGCTCCACCGAAATTCGTGATTAGTGCCCCCGTGGTCCATTCATATACACCGATTACTATATACCCCGGTCACACTACAGCCTTATGTCAACCAAACAATGGATTAGGTCCTGCATTAGCTGCACAGCAAAAAAAAATGTAATATCGATCAAGTGTGAGTGGTGCTGAGTCGATTGCTTTCAGTTTTCAAGTTATCTTGCAGGAAAAATATTCATGTTTTTGCCTTTGTTTACATCCTCTCAACACCGCTCAAAAATTGGCGCCTTTTTCTACACAGAAAAAAAAAAGTTGTTGAATATTACATCCAAACTGCTGCAACCAGGTCAATCCATCGGTTGTGTAATATAACGTTGTACGATGTACATCGATTTTGCGAACAAAATTGCATCTATTGATGTAATATTGAATCTGCTTTTTGCTATTGCATCATGTAATATTGAATCTGCTTTTTGCTATTACATCATTATTTCGTACATCAGCTTGAATTACATTGATCGATATTACATTTTTTTTTTTTGCTGTGTGTCTCTGTAGCTCTTTACTCATATGTTAAAATCAGTCTTCACGAAACATAGGCGGCGTTGAGCTTGAGTTTCAATTTCTTCAACTTTTACCTGTGTTACCTTTCGAACTCAGGTGTACTCTGCACATCGAACGTGAAACTTCGTACATGCACGCAAGTGTGAACATTGAGGCTTGCTATGTTCCCGAATAGAAATTGTAATGTAGGAAACATCAGCAGACATCTTCAATACATTAAATTTTAACGTGTATTGCTGTACCCTTAATGTATTCAGACTTCAGTTTGACGTCCAAGTACATAAAAATACATTAGCCTCAAACGTTACATCAGAATCAAACGTCTTGACGATGTAAAATTTGACATCTGAATACATCCAATGACAACAGAACCATACGTTTTTTTTTCCTATGTTCGGGACCTAACACTACTGCGACCAGTAGATTGATCTATTGTAGTATATCCCGTGTCCTTAGTTTAGTGCATGTCGTATTACTCCATCACTATTAAGAAATGATGAAGTATTCGATTTTTTTTACAGTTGCCACTCTTGCATTTATCGCAAGGATCCGGCTCTAATTGAAAGGTCCCGCTATTTATACCCTTCGGAGTGTTGAAACACCCTCCAAAGGCGCGCCCCTTTGTCAGTCCAAATTGGATTCCTTAGCAACAAAATTAAGGTATGACACCGATAATGACCATGCATCAGAACCCTAGTCTTAACCACTTCAAACTAGGGAACAACGAATAGAAGATTAGGAATCACATAGATGAAGACAACTAACTCATTTTTTTTCTTGTATCAAGATCATCCTCGGTAGACAAAGCCGAGTCTTGTCACTATCAACAAGGCGTAAAAAGTAACAAGGACTAAGATGTGTTCCTTGGATTACTGAAAAATCCTGTTCCCCTAGTTTGAAGTAGTCAGGACTAGGAATCGGTGGTAGATCTTACATCCCGTAACGTACCACGAAAAGGTGATCTACCCACGTTACGGGGCAACCATACGTTACATTAGAATCAAACTTCATCACAATGTAATTTGTTGCATGTATAAAACATCAGAATACATCCAATGACAACAGAACCAAACGTTACATTATAATCAAAGTTCATCACGATGTAAATTGTTGTACGCATAAAACATTAGAATACATCCTATGACACAACAATAAAAAGTGGATTGCAGTGCAGTGATGCCTCCTATGCATAGTTTTGTGACATTATCAATTGCAAATAAAATTGAACTCTTTGGAAGAGTGGAAACGCTAATAAAAGTCGAAATAAAAGTGCACTTAGACGTTGTATTGTCTTGACGCCTTCTGCGCACTTATTCTTCATTCATTTCGTTGCCGTCGGGATATTCTGAGGCATAAAATCTCTGATCACCCCTTCCTTCAGAAGGCGTGTAAAGCCGTTGGTCCCCGGTTCATGAGTTGATGGGTCGATAGGTAGGGTCCAGGTGTGGGAGCTGCCTTCCTGGCGTTGGTAGCATTGGTGCTCAGCACAGAAAACAAGATCAACGGAACACAAATCAAGGAAAAATAAAACACGTTAGGCCCTGAAACAACAATCAATTGTCGATCTTGTTTTCCGTACTGAGTACCAATGCCTCATAGACCCGGGACCAACGGCTTTACTTCCCTTCTGAAGGAAGGCGTGATCATAGCTTTTATGCCTCATAATATCCCGACGGCAACGACTGGGATTGAACCCAGGCCTTTTGGGGTGAAAGAGCAATCACGTTTGCCACTACACACCCGGCGCTGCTAAATCAATCAGCTTTTCTGCCCAGTTGACAAAACATTAATTGTCAATCGTACACGGCTCCCGCAAATGACTATGAATATAGGGGAAATAGCTCTAATGTTGGCCTATCCCGACCAACCATTTCGTCAATTTTCTTTAATTTTCTATACATCGATTTTCAAAGCCATTCATAAGAAAAATCGATAGCGATCGTCACCATTTCATAAATAATTGTAAAGATGCTAAAAGTCAAATCGTGAATCGTTTATAAAGATCTTTCTCAAAATATTGCTACCAATCGTTACCAATGTTAAAATATCGATTGTGTGACCAGATCAAAATATCGATTTCTGTTGTAAAATATCGATACACAACTGCTGATTTTATTTGTGATTTTTTATCTGCATAATTTCTAGTTTCGATCCCAAGCCATCTGGGGTGTACTGATTTCGTTGTTGGTTGCTAATCCTCGGGTCCACGGCTGCTGTTGATGAGCTTATCAACGACAGGCAAACACACTCTAGTATGTGGTGTATTGAAATTTCTGTAAATCTTTTCATACATAAATTCAATATTTATTTGTCATAACCATCAACCAGTCAGCCATGTAGGTGTAATAGAGGTAAAAAGGTATCAATTTTACTCATTGGGTTCCAAATTCCGAAAATCCCACCACGCATGCTATCACGGGTTATTAAATATATAGACTTAAACTAGAAGAACTACAATGGTAAACATTTGCCGGCAGATTGTTTCTTCCGATGAAATGCCGAATATGTCGATAAATAATATAAACATTGCCATCTGTCACTTGGTGTGTCTCGAACTCTCTTTAACCAGCGATGCAAATCGATAACAAGAAGATTATAAATGTGCATCGATGTCAATCTTTGTTGTTCTTTGTCAAAGTTCAAAGTTACGATGATATCAGTATTTAAATATTTATTGATGAATATTTGTAAAGAATACTAAAGTCCATGTGACATATCGAAATTAAAAGAAATTTAGTATGGCACTTTTATAGATTACTATCATATTACCGATGAAGAAACAATCTTAAATGTAAGTATCGATCAATAAAGATTTTTAAATGTGTACATCGAAATCATAGAAAATTTAAAGTAAAGAATTGCCGACATAAATCTTTATTTCTGCATAAAGAACTTTGAAGAAGTTTCACGAATGGTTGGTCGGGATGGATCTAAGGTTGGGTCCATCGCTAAAAATCTGCTTTTTATCAATTTTATCTAGATGACCGCGTCATTGTGAAGGCCCACGCACATTAGATTCGGATCGGAAGCGTTGCAGCAAAGTGACAGCTAAATCTATTGTCTATCTGTCAAATTTACGTCAACGCAACGTGAACGGATCTAATGAGGGTGGCCCTTGACGGTACTAAGTGATATTTTTGGTCACTATTGTAAATTTAGTCGATCCCCTAGTAACTACAATGTCACCCCGTTGGTTTCCGAAAGCAAAACGCAAACTGCTTCCAGAAACGCAATCTCGTCCCCCTGGAGTGCACCTCTGGTGGGCAAGGATTATGACGAAAAATCAAAATAAAAATCTGTCAGAAGCCGTCGCCGAAGTTGATAGACGATTAATTAAATCAGTGCAAAAACACCTCCCGCTCCCGCAAAAAGAAAAGTAAGGAAAATTCTTCGCATCAGACGTTCGGAAAATCCGCACTTTTCCGGCTTGGAACCATAACTTCTCAGGTGGATTGCATTTTTCCAGTTTTATTTTTTTGTTTTGGTTGAAGAAACGCCGAAACCGTATCAGACAGCCAAAAGTCAACAAAGGTGGATCTTTCCGGCGGTAGCGGCGGCGGCCAGCGTCAAGCAATGGCCTCGGTGCGCATTCCCGAGCAGAAAGTGATCCTGTGCGGCGAGTACGGAGTGGGGAAGAGTTCAATCTTCCGCCGGTTCGCTGCCAACAGTTTCGTCACGGCTACGGACCGGAAGTCCACCCTGGGGCTGGATCATTACGATCGGAGTTTCACGGTTGGCGATAAAGCCATCAAGGTGAGTGTGGTCGATGACCCTTTCGGAGTGGGTGAATTTGAACTGATTTTTGTTTGTGGTTGTTTTAGCTTCAACTGTGGGATACCGGTGGTATGGAGCGAGTCGCTTCCGTCACTTCCAGCTACTACAAGTTTGCCGAGGCTGCGTTACTGGTGTTCGCATTGGACAATCCGGCCTCGTTCCATTCCCTATCGCAGCACATGCTGGACGTGGTTACGTATGCGGAGAATGCAAAGATTTTTCTAGTCGGAAACAAGGTCGATCTGGAGCAGACCGGCGATCCGGAGGTGTCCGATGCGGACATGGAGTCCTTTTGCGAGCAGTGTCATAGTTTAATCAGCGCGACGTACAAAACGTCCTGCAAAACGGGCGAAGGGTTAGAGGATATGTTTCAGGATATTGCCAACAGCTTGGTGGAATCGAATCGGTCTCGGCTAGAACTGCAGGCGTTGGATTCACACGGTTTTAAAATTGAACCGCCGGAGGACTTTGGGGAACCGTCTTGTCTTTGCTAGTATTTCGTGCCCTAAGCGGTAGGGCACATAAAGAAAACGCAAAATGAGATCATACATGTTTTGGGAATGGAATTTTTCCTAGATGGTTCCGGGGTATATTTCGAGAGGAAGAGCTGCATTGTGATCCGATTGCAGGATTACATCGTTCTGGGGGAACGTGTAGTCACACACTTTTTTTTTTATATGTAACATTTTAAAGTACGGTTTGGATACTAGTCCCGAAGTGAATGCCAATTTTTTGACGATGTTGCTGTGGAGACACGGAAATAGAAGGCAGCAGAGGTCGGAGTGCCATAGAAAACAGGATAAAATATCTAGAAATAATCTGCTTCTTGGGTCAAAATAACTCGATTAAGGACAGAAGATTAGCTTTGATTAAATTTGATAAATTCAATTGACGCTATGACATTCCCCCTTATTCTGCGAGTCACGTGACTCTCTGTCACCGGTGAGGTGACAATTGTCACCTCGTGTGAGGTGACTCTCCATGTAAATCAAATGGAGAGTCACCTCACCGGTGAGAGAGAGTCACGTGACTCGCAGAATAGGGGGGATTAATACTGGGTTTATTATTGATTCCTTGAAAATTCAAACAGTACCCAAACTGATTTGTGCTGATACTCATCCACAAAATAATATTGAACTAAATTAATTACTAATAAACAGTTGCTAATCAACAACGTAAATAGCGCTTAACTATAATAAGCAACCTAATGGAATAAGAAAATGATATTGTAACTACTGCTTAATGAATATTGGCAAAAGGAGTTTTATAACTATACGTACGTACACAGTTTGAAAATTTTGACAGTAGTGAGTAGTTTTCAGCAGTATCAATAAATATTCGATACCGAAAACACGTTTTATTTAATTATTGAATTATGTATTGTGGTTTTTATGAATACTTAGACTTTCTCGACGAAACGTGGAAGCTGCCAAAATCTTCCGTGGCTTTTGAAACTCTTACCATTTCAGTTTTCCCTTGCCGCTTTTGTGCGCAAACTGCGCAAACAGGTTGACCAGCTGGAATTGATCATTAGATGGTCCAGTTTTGAACCCACCACAGTATGCTTTTGGCGCTATGGACGATCAAATGTAAAATACTGTGGTAGCCACAGCATAGTTCTGTCAAAACCTCAGCATTTTTTTTTTTCTTTGTGGTTGTCTTTACAGACGGCTAAGACCATAGTTTGGTCCATCTGGCCAAACCTCAACATTTTCAGTGATCCATTAATGTAGGCTCGAGAACAAAGGGATCAAAAGTAAACATCTAGATAGAGCTGGAATTAGGGCGTAACAGCCTTTGTAAACAATGACTTCTTTCGTTGATTTCTCGGAATTTAAGGCACGCCCACACAAACCAACATAACCACCGGGTAGAGGAAGTCTTCCTCTACTCGATGGTGATGTCGATTTTCCAGGGAGAGCCATGGCTTACGAGAAATCATCGAGAGAAGTCATTGTTTACAAAAGCTGTTACGCCCTAATTCCAGCTCTATCTAGACATATGGAAGAGGATTAACCAGCTGGTTTGGAACAAAGGAGTCAAAAGAAAACATCAGAAGAAATGTCATGGAAACCAAGGTGGGATTGGTAAGAGCGAAATTTGGAACCGACGAAATTAAAATAACTCGAGTCTAAATGAAGAAAGATTAAATTTTCGCAATACGTACACACTTAGAAATGATTACAGACTTCGGTAATTTTTTACTGACCTTTCAACAGCTGAACGTTCGGTAAAATGTTGACCCTCATTTCAAAAACTGTTTCATTAAATTTTAATTCCAAAACACTGTCAGCTCTGTTGAAATAATCGAGTCTTGCCATTGCGGTGAAGTTTTCCTTGTTTTGAAGCTAATGAATTAAAATGCCTGATTTTTAAAGAACAGTTCAGCTGTTTAAAGTTCGGTAAAAATGACCAAAGTCGGTAATGATTTTATAAGTGTGTACCTAATACGAAAAACATTATATGAAAATGCTTTTCGAACGTTAAAGAGAAAATAAATGAATAAAATATCTGGCATCACTGGATCTGTCAAACTCGCCAGCTCCCATTTCGAAGAGCTAAAACAACGGCGAATGGCTAAAAAATAAGAAAAACAAAAACAATCCATCAGTCAAAGCAGTTTTCGTTTTAATTCGTTTCGCGATTGAAAATGGCCGCGTCAAGTGCAAGTGTTGGTGTTGTTATTTTGGTGTTTATTTTGCTGTATTCGAACGCCGCGGGAACAACCGACACAGGTAGGTGCAAATTTCCTCGGTGGCCGAGCCAGTTCCGTTGCCGACAGGTGAATCGAATCGGATTTCCGGCTCGAAAATGGGCCGTCAAGTGTGGGATGTTCTGCTGGTGCGAGCGACAGTCTGGCTCCAATCGGAATCCTGCTCTGGTCCTTCCAATGTGCGTGAGCGGGAAAGAGACGGCGAGATGGTTTGTTGTTATTTTTTCGATGTGGACCAGTGCTGGAACGGGGATTTGTTTTGCAATTTTGCGATCGGATTCGCCCGATTGAACGCCCCGGGATTAGTGATTCGGAAGTTGTGATGTGCGCTGTTGTTATCGTTATCAGTAACCGAGGGTTTGTGATCGGAACATAGCGCGAAGCGTTACGTGAGAATAATGATTTCTGCTGTTAGTTTTTAATCTGATCTAGTGCCATCTCGCTCATTGGCATCCAAACAAGATTGAAAAATTGATCTGTTTTGACATTAGAATATGTAGCTGTTGCTGTAGGCTTTAGGGGAAGCGCTATACTTTGACTGGAAAGTTCAATCGGATTTGATTTGATCGATTTTATTAGTAAGGTGAGGACAGCCCGGCTAGCTTAGTCGGTAGAGCATGAGACTCTTAATCTCAGGGTCGTGGGTTCGAGCCCCCACGTTGGGCGGCGATGCTTTTTTGTGGAGAAATGCTTTAAAAATACAGTTCACTCTCGTTAATTTGTTTACTCCGAATGTCACTTCCCCAAACGCCGTTACTTCGAATGAGATTTTGCTTTCTTTTGACTGCTTTTCACATTCGGGGTAATGAAGCACAATCCCGAGCAGCGGATGTGACAGAAAGTGGCACACTACTTTTGACTCCTTTGTTCTCAAGCTTCCAGCTGATCATGTTTACATAACAAAAGGTGATTTCGTTTGCGCGTAGAACCGTCAATGAAAAGCTGAAATGTTAGAGTTCCAAAAAGCCACGGAAGATTTTGGCAGCTTCCACATTTCGGCGCGAATGTCTAAATATTCATAGAAAACGCATAACGTATTAAAAAATTCTTGTTATTACTACGCAAGAGAATGAATTGTTGAAGTAAAGTAATTGGAGGAAAAGTTCTTTTCGAAAAATAAAAACTAAATTACTAAATGAATATTTAGTAGATTAAAAAAATATATTCTTAAATAGAAAAAAATATTTTTTTTTATTTTTTTTGAAAATTGTGCCATGGTTTAGTTAAAGATTTGACGTCCAATCAAATAAAATTCGTAGCCCACAATGCTAGGCGAGATCAAATATGCAAAAGTTGTAACAAATTAGGAAACAACCGACAAGGACATAGAGGATTTTGTAAAAATTGCACTTTTTTGACATTCTAGGATCCATTTTCTGCTAACTCCGACAAAAATTACGTTTCTCAATTCTAGAAAACGATTCTTTAAATTTACTGGGAAACAGCTAAAGACAAAAAAAGGCTCGCTAAATATTAATTACCCGAGAAAATGCTGAGTATACCATTCCCAGTAAATTTACTCCGTGTAGAAATATCAATAAATTTAAACAAATTGTCAGTAGAAACTTATGGAACCTTTTTAGAGAGGATGGAAATAACTTCCAGAGAAGTCATAAAACCTTCCGGAGACAGTTGGAAGAAACTTCCAAAGAAGCTGACCAACTCTGTCGGTAGATTAAAATCTATATTCTTCTTCGCATTTCAAGCTTATTGCGTATCGCATATTATTATCGCTCTCAACTTAGTGTTCTAGATGCACTTCCACGGTCTTAATTGAAAGCTTTCGATGCCTGTTCCATTTTTGTGTGGCAACTACAGTCATACTCTATGCCCAGGAAAGTCGAGAAATTTTCCATCCCGAAGAAATCCTAGACCGGACATGGAATCGAACCCAAGCATGGTCTTGCTTTGTAGCTTTGCCTTTACTGACTGAGCTGAGCCCTTTAAAAAATCCAGGACAAGAAATTTCCGGACAAATCGGAAGTAACCTTCAGAAAAAGTTAGGAGAAACTTCTAGAGGAAGTTGGCATATCCTTCCGGAGCAAGTCAGCAGGACTTCTGGGGGAACTCGTAGAAGGAGCTTCCAGGAGAAATCATAAAGGCCGGCGCACAATGCATACGTTTTCGGGTTTTTTGACAGATAATGCATGGGCTAACTGTCTAAAAACGTATCTATTGTGCGCCGGCCTTAAGAATTGTCTTGTGTCAGTCAGAAGAAACCTTCACAGCAAATTCCAGGTGAAATATCTTTATACAATTGGAACTAGCTTCCGCGGAAAGATTAAAGAAAGTACATCGGAAATTTCCGTGAAAAGTCTGAAAAAACCAGGATTAGTCAGAAGACAGTTCCGAAAACATTCAGAGAAAGTTAAAACACTTCCGGGAGGAACTTGCGCAGGTATTTAAAAGAAAATCCTGATGGAAATCCGAAAAAAAATCGAGAAAAGAGTACCAATGCTACCGACACCAGGAAAACAGCTCCCCCACCTGTATCCTACCCCTATCGGCCCATGGATCGGGGACCAACGGCCTTACTTCCCTTCCGAAGGAAGGCGTGAACAGAGATTTCATGCATCAGAAAATCCCGACGGCGCCTACTGGGATTGAACCCAGGCCCTTTAGAGTGAGAGGCAATCACGCTTATCATTACACCACAGGCGCTGCTATCGGAAAAAGCTTGAGCTAAGTTAGTGCTATTTCTGTGCACTCCTACCCACATTGCACGGCTCTCAAATTATTGCGTGCTTTCTCTGGTCTCTTGCTCTCAAAACAATCGAGCGCAAGAGACTTTATAACACACAGCACAACCCTTTTTTTTAGAGCTGTGTGCGTGCATCCAGACGATCCCTTCTTCGGAGCCTCATATTTTTTTCGAAGTGCTGCGTTGGGCTGGTTTTACCGATCAGACTTGCAATGGGCTCCGATTCATGCTGTGCTAGTGTCAACTTGAGTATTTTCGATTCATCTACCCGAATTGAAAAGGTGTACCACTAACGAACCGACGTGACAGCTCATACAAGCTACTTTCAAATTTATGCCCAAGACGCCATATTAAAATCAAGACCAACAATTGAAAAGGCCTCAACTCCATTTTGTAAACAAACCTTTTAAGGCCATTTTCTCGTGAACCGACACCTACACAGTTCGAAAAAGTAGTGTAAATGTCTGTTCAATATGATGCACATAAACGGAGCGTCACATATCATATACGTTTACATTATATATCATGTAAAGTTCTGACATATTTCATGCAACGTAGCAAATATTGTATACAAAAGCCCATCTTTGTAAACAACATTGTTTGCAAGTTGCTCGGTTGCGTGAAATGAAATACAAGTGTACGTGTTTGAATATTTACATCACAATTAAAATTCAGAAATTTTATCTGTGTACATTCGCAAACCTAAAACACAGTCGGATAGAAGAAAATTTCCCCTACCTGATCATTTTGTTGGTTTGTGTTGGCGGACTTCGGTTCGCGACAAAATGGCCAAGGCTTGCCCGAAAAAAAAATTACAGTGAAATTTTCAGTGGAAACAATGCTCTAACATTAATATTTATTGTCGACAATAAAAATGATTGTTATAATGTTGTACTCTTCCGAAAACGGCAAAACTGCTACCTAGCTGTACAATGAATGTACATAATAAAATGTTGTTACAATGATTTTTATCGTATTTTTCATTTATTTTATTGTTAACATGATTCGATCATGAACAATAATGAACAACTCTATTACAATAAAAATTGTTGTTACATTAAATATTGGTGTATTTTCATTGTGGGTTACTTCACGAACAATAAAAATAAATCTGATTGTCAGCAACACTGCCAATGTAATAGTCCATTTTATGAAATGACAGGAGCTGGTTTGCCTGCCAGAATTTGATGATATTGATATTGCTTCTCACAGCCGTTAGGTAACCGCCTCCTGCAGTTCATTCATGAGTTGAACCAGAAACGTCTCATAAAATCAGTGCTAACATTTGAAAACGGCACAAAAGCCATTTGTAAACAAATGGTTTGTGGGCCCTTTACTCACTACTTGAAGTACACCCACGCGACACAACAGCAACATCGGGTAGGGGAAATTTTCCCCTTCCTGACGATGCTGTTGGTTTGCGTGGGCGTTCTTCGGGTAGCGAGTAAAGGGCCCACAAACCATTTGTTTACAAATGGCTTTTACGCCGTTTTCAAATGTTAGCACTGAAATGCTCTATTAAGATAGGCGCTGCTCGTATGGCTCTGGCTTTGACAGTTCGTTTGGCTCAAAACCAGGCAGTCCACGTCCGCTCATATCTTATCCTAGACCCTCTCTAAAGCTTAATGGAGACCTTTTCCGTGCAGTCAATAATCATCAATAATAATAAAAAATTCCACCACTTGAAGATGTCAAGAAGGAACTCTCATGTGGAAGCATATTTCATGGGCGATTCTCTCCAGTCGAATGCATTAACTTATCAACGACGCTCAACCACCAAGGAGACGTGACCTAGGGATATCGAGCGCAGGGGAGTTGGCCTGCATTTCTCACAAGTTCCGGATCGAATCTCGATCCATAACCAGTAAAAAAAGGACCACCCGTAACAGACATACCACCCCCTTCCCTTCCCGGGGCAATGTTTTATTATTTCGATTTATTTTTAAAGTCGATAAAGTAGATCTGTCAAACCAACACATACACTCTAAAGTACACTGTTATTTTTTTAATCAATAAATTCGCCAACCAACAGTAAAATAACAATAATATATAATGTTATTGAAAAAAAATTATATGGGAAAATCACGAAAATTTCATTGTTAAGATACTTAACAACCCCCCTTTTTTATTGTAAATTTTCCATTTACCATGAAATTTATTGTTTTGTACAACATAAATCAAGGTAAATTTATTGTAGACGTAACAATATAAATCATTGTTAAGACAATAATTTTCGTCTTATTGTTACATTGTTTTTTAATGTATTTTTGTTGTTATTTTTTTTCGGGTGTTTACAAAATGGAGTTGAGGCCTTTTCAATT